CCCTTCTCCGCGATTTATTGTGAACACTGACTGTTTATATAAGACTGGTACATGACCATACTGCTAATATTCAAATGTTTGAAATCAGAAAGACCTTCTCAGTAGGAGGATCAACCGAAAGTTGAACATATGTATGTTGATTAATAATAATAAATAATTAAAAAATGTTTACCCCCAAAAAATTAATTGCAGAAGAAAATGACTATTGCTGCAATTATACACGGCATCATGTTTCCTCTCCCTGCAGAATTTGCTGGGAGTTTCTCCCACATCCTTTTTTGGCTATGGGACAGGAAGTGAAGGTAAATCTCCCCAATGGGACACCGATGGCAAAAAATAAACTGACAGGGCTTATAACTCTCTCTTACTCTATCCAAAATGGAAAAAAAAGTTTTTCCTATAGTAGAAATTTGCAAAACTTTTTTCATTTTGGATAGAGTAAGGGAGAGTTATAAGCCCTGTCAGTTTGTTTGTTTGTTTGTTTGCTGTGTCCCATTGGGGAGATGTACCTTCACTTCCTGTCCCATAGCCAAAACAGGAAGTGGGAGAAAATTCCAGGCAATAGGGAATTCCTTGGGAACCTCCAGGTTTCTAGAAATAGTGTCCCCATGAGAAAACTTCACATTACTTTTTAGGGGACAACCCAAAATGTGGGGTTTCTTTTACTTTCACGTTTGGTGATAATGTTAAACAGGAAAAATAGAGGGTACATTTTTTCCAACTGGGACAGAGACTGCAGTAAAAACTAACAGGTGTCCTAATCCATTTCCACAATATCCAAAACCAGAAAAAAAAAAGTTTTGCCTTTAATTATAATTAATCTGTGGACAATTTCATCCCCTTCATGGCCAGAGCATTTTTTTTTGCTCTTCAGCACTACGATACTTTAACTAGCAATTGCATGGTCATCCAACACTGTACCCAAATTAAATTTTATATAATTTTTTTGCACAAATAGAGCTTTGTTTTGGTGGTATTTGATCACCACTAGGTTTTTTTAAATATATAAACAAAAAAAGACAGGATATTTGGAAAATAAACAATATTTTCTACTTTGTTAGAAAACATATCTAATAAACAAAATCTTATTTCTACATAAATTTGGCCACAAAATCCCAGTAAGTGTAAATTAATTGGTTTGTGTGAAAGTTATAGCATCTACAAGCTATGGTATACATACTGGAATTTACGCAACTATGATGCTATACTGATGATGGTGGTGATCAGTGACTTATATGGCAGACAATCTGGTGCTCGATGACGCTGGTTTGGGAGGTACAGTGACATCAACAGTGACATTAATACAGTGATCCATGCTAATGCTGTACATTTTACTAATGACACTGGGTGGGAAGGGGTTAACATCAAGGGGCAATCAAAGGATTAACTGTGTGCCTAACAAGTGTAATAATATGTGCTGCTTTTACTTACAGAGCCAGCTGATTTTTCTCTCCCTGCTTTACAAGGAGAAGAAAAAGCCAGGTCACTAATATGTGTACAGAGTCCTGTGTTGTTTGTAAACAGAAGGCTTTGTGTTGTGATTGGATACAGCCCATCAGCAGATCTCAGCCATAAATCATTGTGCGAGACTTGCTGACAAAATCCCATTGTAGCCAGTGACAGGGGGGTTAGCAGCGGTCATGCTCTAAACCTGGAACAGGATGGATGATGTAGATGTACGCGATTCAGTTTGCTCCATTAAAGAATTTTAAGAAGTTAAAGAATTTTGTTCTGCTCTCAGAAAAGGTGGTTAGGTAAGATATTGTGTGGGACCTTATATCACTGATTATAATGTCTATTGTATATTGTTAAAGCCCAGCTCTGGGCACAATTGGCATACAATCGTGAAAGCTGTTAAAACTTCCTTTGCTCTAAAAGCCACTGCTTGTCATGTTAGCTTTTTTCAAAGTCCAAAAAGCTGCTTTATTTACCTGCCTGGATTACAGCCCCTGCTGTAGTTTTGGGCTGCTTTGGTGTAAGTACCGCATGTCTCTTCGACCTCAGTGCTCCAGTCATGTCTCCGCCTCCTCCAGGCCATTTACAAAACACAGAGCTCCAGGTTTCATTTTGTGAATGGCCAGGAGAAGAGGGAAGGGAATACACAACCTCAGCTCTGAAGCCTAAGACCTGCAGTGCTTATGCCCTAGTAGCCTGGAAGTACAGCAAGAGCTGTAATAATCCCGGCTTGTAAACAAAGATGCTTTGAAGGATATAGAAGAAAGCTTACATGATGGAGGTAGCTTACAAGGCATTTCACAGCTTTAACCATGGTGTGCTTATTGTTCTCAGTGTTGGCCTTCATAGTATGTTTATATTTATGCCTTGTGCTAGGGCTCATTTACACATGCTTTGCTCTCTGTAGAGTGATCCTTGTTCAGAGAGCATTTGCCAGGCAGTGAGGACACATTGTATTGCCTCCTCACTGCCTGCTTTAACCCCTTGAATCCTGCACTAGCACACCACAAATATATGCATTGCATGCAGTTGCAGGGCGCCTGCATAGTGGTCTCATTCACTTGGAATGGGTCACAGTCGGTGGGTGCTACACCTGCCGAAAGCAACGGGGAGTATAATTTTGGTTGTGAAGAAGAGCATTGTGCATGAGGCATGTGTACACCCCTGGTCGTTGCCTCTGCAGCTAAGGGGGCAGCAGTTAGGGGCACCCCACCAACTTCAGGTGAACAAGCCCATAGTGTCAGCATTTTAATGAGATCCTATGGTCTATAAAATGAAAATCCTAAATCTGCTGCCAATTTTTCTCCACCCTTTGTATGGGGTAACTTATGGCCATCCTTTTACCAAATAAAGTGCAAGTAAGTCAGTTTTTTACTTCTTGGCCGTATGTACTTGGTACCTGTGAACATGTAACTTAGAGTGGGGGAGCATTGTGATTATTTTACTCCCATTTATGGCTTTTGTAAGGCATACTGATGATGATTAGACATGACAACGCACTCATTATGCAATACTCACTGATGGAGCTAGTGATTATAGTGTAAGAACGGTGTATATGGTGATGTGGGGGTTGGTATAGAACCGTGTAGCTACTGTGACTGGGATTAAGGAAACTGTTTATGGCTAATGATGGGTCGATATGTCAGAATATAGGTGCATTGTTTCTGCTTTTTAACTTTTTAGAGTGATGTACTAGAAATTAACGAGGTTTAGAGATTAGATCTGACCATTTAAAATAAATAAAATTGAAAATGAGGCTTGCAAGCATGATGTAAGGAAAATATTTTTTTATAAATTCCATGGTATCATTTAGATCTTTGTTGCAAATTACAATTCATATTCAACTGCTACAAAATTGTACAGTCGGTGTATATTTATTTTTATTCACTGGACACAGACTAACATATAATAATATTAACTGACGTGAAAACTGTATCCAAAAGTGAAAAGTAAACGAGACTTTAATAGTACTTTATACATACACACATACAACCAGATGATAAAGTTTACATTTTATTATAGGAACTGATAAAAAAAATCTATAAAATTAGACAGTGATACATCCAAAGTTGTTTCAACTTTCTGGCTTCAAGAAGACTTCAACATGTTTTGCCATAGCCGGCTTCATCAGGAAAAGGTACAAGAAGCAGGCTGTTGTCTAAATAAAAATGTACAAGTTACAACATGATTGTTTAAACAAATATCCCAGTATACAAATACTGTCAGTTGACTAGTAAAGTCTCTCACCACCAGTCTGAGGCCATATGTTGAATTCATAAAGACTTCAGCATGTTTTGCCATAGACAGTTTCATCAGGAAGAGTTACAAGAAGCAGGCTGTTATCTAAAGAAAAGAGGGATTCTTAAGACACTGTGCACAGCCCATTAGGGGACAAAAACGTTTAAGTCTTCATGAAGCCGGAAAAGTGAAAAGACCTTGAATATATCATTGTCTAATTTTAATGTTTTTTTTATCAATTATTATAAAAAAAAATTTAAAAATGTATCTGGTTATAATTGTGTATGTATAGGGTACCTTTTAAAGTCCTGTTTACTTTTCACGTTTGGATATACTTAGCCTTTGAGATGTGGTGCCTTGAATGTGCTCACTGTCCTACACCAAAACGTAGTGTGATGTCAGACACACTAATCTGCAAGCCTCTATGAAATTGCTGACCTGTGTTTGACATCTTCTTTTAAGCATGTTATGAAAATGAGCCTTAAAGAATATAGACTTAAATTTCCTTTTGCAAGGATCCTATAATACATAAAGTAGAACTATAGGCAAAGCTTTTTATTTTTACTTTGTATACAGTAAGGGAGAGTTATAACTCCTACCATTTTTTCACCATCTGTTACCTTCACTTCCTGTCATTGCCATTGCCAAAACAGGAAGTGAGGGGAAATTCCTGCAAATTAAGGGAATCTCTTGGGCCCCCCAGGTCACCAGATCTAGTATCTCCATTAGACAATTTCCCCTCTGACTTTTCTAGGGGACAAATCAAAATTTGTGATTTTCTTTTTACTTTTAAGCTCTATTATAAAGGAAAACAGGACAAATAGAGAGGGTGAGTCTTCTTAATTGACGGCACAGACATCAATAAAAATCTAATAGGTTTTCTAACCCCTCTCCACTTTATCCAACCCGAAAACAAATGACCAATCAGACACCAGAAATCATCTCACCAGGACATCGGACACATAATTTATTGGGGCTTTGGGTTATATATTTCTTGGCTTTTCTCTGGGTGCTCCAGTTTCTCTAGAGAGATGCAGAGGAAAGCAGAGTATCCATGGTCAATCCATTGGCTCCCAAGGCTGTGTCGAGCTGTTTACCCAAATACAACTTTTTGCAGTCATAGCAGAGCAGAATGTTACACTGTTTTCAAATAGAAAAAAATAGCCTCGAGTGATTTAACAATTCCGATAAAGTTCCTTTGTTGCTGCAGTGATCAAGTGATCATTGCTGTATGTGTGAGGGAGAAAAACGCGTTAAGGATAAAAAAAAATATGATGTATTGTTAATCCTTTTTGCCTTTATTTTAGGGGTAATGGCACAAGGAGTACCTTCCATGGCTGGAACACCCGCAACTGGAAATATTCCGTACAATCAGCAGGTAATGAGTTGAACAGTAGGATTTCATTGTTCCTCTGTTATAGCAAGTACTGGCAATATATAACAGGAATAGGAGGCGCTCCAAAGGATGGAGAGAAGAAAAGGGGGAAGAAGCACCTGGAAAGTATCCTGTGAGTGTAGCACAGGTAGAAAAAAAGGTTGTAGGCTAGTACAGAATAATAGATTGCCTATAATCACACCTTGAAGGTTGCAAATAGCCCGAGTGGGGATTGAGCAACCTGTAGCTTTAGCATATTGTACTCGATGCTTATCCAGGTTCTTCTGGAGTATCCTGTGCTGAAGGCAGTGAGATCACAATGTGCATAAAGGTGAAAAGAGCCTAACCCAGAAAATGGGTTGTGTGATTATGCTGTGGCCTACCCTTTTTTTCTGCGTTCAGTTCCTTTACCTCCAATATGCAAACAAATTATGTTACTAGAACTGAAAACCATTTGCACATATAGACTTGGAAAATTACTATATCTAGCCTGTATATAATAAAATTTGACTACTGCAGATTATTTAACTTTTTTTGCACAGTTATGTATGCAAGCCTTTTAAGTGTTTGTACTTTTTGTTATCCAATAATATAGTTAATCTTTGACATTTATTTGATATTTGGCGCTTATTTATTAACAGATGTCATGCTACATAGAAGCTGATATTTCAGTTTGGTATCAGTAGTCTCAATCCAAGCAGTTTTTTTTTTTTTTTTTTTTTAATCTGCAGTTGAAAGTGGAAAGTTAACTTTCGTGAGGTGTATGCCACATTAAGTGTCGCTGTCATTTCTTTAATGTTTACACTTAAATTTAGGCCAGATAGTAACGTTCAGACCAGATAATATAGCACTCACTATACTTCCAGGTTGCTGTGTCTCTCATGCAGTATGTGGAAACTTAAGTGTTTGTCCATCCCTCTTTCCTCTTTTCCATGTACAGAATGCTTTGTATTCGCTGAGTGGTTCACAGTACAGCTCTAGGTATGACAGCATATATTATATGGTCTTCAAAACGTTCCAGCACTTAGACGTAAGGATGCCCCATCGTTTGCTGGAAATTATCAACCTACAGCGGACTGAATTCAAAGACACCCCAGACATCAAAGTGAAAACGGTACTTAGTAGTCTGTATGGCCCCCATGTTCTTGAATGCATGCCTGACAATGTCGGGGCATGCTCCTAGTCATACAACGGATGCTGTCCTGGGGGGTTTCTTCCCAGATCTTGACCAGGGCATCACTGAGCTCCTGAACAGTCTGAGGTGCAACCTGGCGGCATCGAATGGACCAAAACATGATATCCCAGAGGTGTTTTATTGAATTTAGGTCAGGCGAGCATGGGGGACATTCAATTGTATCAATTCCTTCATCCTCTAGGAACTGCCTGCCTACCCTCGCCACCTGAGGCTGGGTATTGTCGTTCACCAAGAGGAACCCAGGACCCACTGGACAAGTGTAGGGTCTGACAATGGGTCCAGGGATTTCATCCCGATACCTAATGGCAGTCAGGGTACCATTGTCTAGCATGTAGAGGCCTGTATGTCCCTCCATAGATATGCCTCCCCAGACCATCACTGACCCACCACCAAAACTGTCATGCTGGACAATGTTACAGTCAGATGTTACAGGCAGCATAACATTCTCTACGGCTTCTCCAGACCCTTTCATGTTTGTTACATGTGCTCAGGGTGAACCTCTCATCTCAAAGCAAAGGGCGCCAGTGGCAGACCTGCCAATTCTGGTGTTCAATAGCAAATTCCAGTCGAGCTCTGTGGGGCCAGGCAGTGAGTACAGGGCCCACTTGAGGACGTCAAGCCCTCAGGCCACCCTCATGAAGTCGGTTTCTGATTGTTTAGTCACAGACATTCACACTAGTGGCCTGCTGGAGGTCATTTTGTAGGCCTCTGGCAGTGCTCATCCTGTTCCTCCTTGCACAAAGGGGCAGATACTGGTCCTGCTGATGGGTTAAGGACCTTCTACAGCCCTGTCCAGCTCTCCTAGAGTAACTGTCTGTCTCCTGGAATCTCCTCCATGCTCTTGAGACTGTGCTGGGAGACATAGCAAACCTTCTGGCAATGGCACGTATTGTGCCATCCTGGAGGAGTTGGACTGCCTGTGCAAAGTCTGTAGGGTCCAGGTATCACCTCATGCTACCAGTAGTGACACTGACCCTAGCCAAATGCAAAACTAGTAAAAAACAGTCAGAAAAGATGAGTAAAGAAAAAAATGTCAGTGGCCTCCACCTGTAAAACATATCTTGGGGGTCATCTCATTGTTGCCCATCTAGTGCACCTGTTTGTTAATTTCCTTAACACCAAAGCAGCTGAAACTGATTAACAACCCCCTCTGCTACTTAACCACTTGCCTACCAGGCACTTATACCCCCTTATTTACCAGGCCAATTTTCAGCTTTCAGCGCTGCCGCACTTTGATTGACAATTGCACGGTCATGCAACATTGTACCCATATGAAATTTTGATCATTTTTTTCTCACAAATAGGAGCTTTCTTTTGGTGGTATTTAATCGCCACTGGGCACTTTACTTTTTGCGCTATAAATAAAAAAGTGCAAAAAATTTGAAAAAAACAAAGTTTCTTTGTTTCTATTATAAAATTTTTCAAACAGGCATTTTTTCTCCTTCACTGATGTGCGTTGATGAGGCAGCACTGATGGGCACTGATAGGCAGCACTAAAGGGCACTGATAGGCAGCACTAATGAGGTGGCACGGATAGGCGGCACTGATAGACAGCACTAATGAGGTGTCACGGATAGGCGGCACTAATATGCAGCACTGATAGGCGGCACTGATAGGTGACACTGATGATGGGTATTGATAGACGGCACTGACTGGCATCACTGCTGGGCACTGACTGGCGGCACTGACTGGCACAACCCCTGGGCACTGACTGGTAGCACTGCTGGGCTGCACTGGTCGGTGGCACTGGTGGGCAGCACTGGTGGGTGGGCACAGGTGGGTGGCACTGGTGGGCACAGGTGGGTGGCACTTCTGGGCACAGGTAGGTGGCACTGCAGAGTGGCACAGGTGGGTGCACTGCTGGGCACAGGTGGGTGATCTGCTGGGCACAGGTGGGCGGAGCTAGTGGGCGCACTGCTGGGCACAGGTGGGCGGAACTTGCGGGTGGCACTGCTGGGCACCGATCATCAGAGCACTGATCATCAGTGCCCTGATGATCGGTGCCGATCCCCGCTCTGACAACTGCCGGTTCTCGGCAGTACTTTCCTCACGATCTGACAGCGTGAGGAAAGTGCAGCCGAGAACCGGCACTTGCATTTCCCTCTGATCAGCGTGTCATTGGACACCGCTGATCAGGTGGTAAAAGGCCGCTGTGATTGGCCTTTTACCACATCACGTGATCAGCTGTGTCCGTAGGATACAGCGATCAAGGAGATTGCCGGGTGCGCGCCCCCTGGGGCGCGCAGGAGAGCGCGTTCTGGGGGGACGTCATATGACGTCCACTCAGAACTGGCCGGCCGCAGTGAAGCCGTCATTCGTAGTAGTAGTTAACTGACCAGATCACTATCCCAGGTGTTTAATTGACTTGATGCTATACTCTGATTAAAAATTGTTGCTTTATTCTTATTTTTAGAAGTGTGTGTATATATATATATATATATATATATATATATATATATAAATTATACATGCACATGTACACATTATATTGCCAAAAGTATTGGGATACCCCTCCACATCATTGGATTCAGGTGTTCGCATCACCTTCATGGTCACAGGTGTCAAAAGCACCTAGGCATGCAGACTGCTTCTACAAACGTGTAAAAGAATGTGTCACTCTCAGGAGCTCTGAATTCAAGCGTGGTACCGTGATAGGTTGCTACCTGTACAATAGGTTCTTACGTGAAATTTCCTTGCTACTAAATATTCCACAGTCAACTATTAATGGTATTATAACAACCTGAAAGCAACTGAGAGCAACAGCAACTCAGCCACAACGTGGAGGCCACATAAAATGACAGAGCGGGGTCAGCGCATGCTGAAGCGCACATTTTACAGATGTTGCTGACTGCAGAGTCAGTAGCTGAAGACCTCCAAACTTCATGTGGCCTGCAGATTAGCACAACAGTGCATAGAGAGCTTTGTGGAACGGGTTTCCATGGCAGCTGCATCCAAACCTTACATCACCAAGTGCAATACAAAATCTCGGATGCAGTGGTGTAAAGCACGCTGCCACTGGACTCTAGAGCAGTGGAGATGTATTTTCTGGAGTGACGGATCATGCTTCTCTGTCTGGCAATCTGATGAATGTGTCTGGGTTTGGTGGTTGCCAGGAGAACGGTACTTGCTTGACTGCATTGTGCCAAGTGTAAAGTTAGGTGGAGGGGGAATTATGGTGTAGGCTTGGCCCCTTAGTTTTAGTGAAGTGAACTCTTAAGGCATCAGCATACCAAGACATTTTGGAAAATTTCATGCTCCCAACTTTGTGGGAACAGTTTGGGGATGCCCCTTCCTGTTCCAACATGACTGCACACCAGTGCACAAAGAAAGGTTCATAAAAACATGGATGAGCGAGTCTGGAGGTGGAGGAACTTGAGTCCTGACCTCAACCCGATAGAATACCTTTGGGATGAATTAGAGCAGGGACTGTGAGCCAGGCCTACTTGTCCAAAATCAGTGCCTGACCTCACAAATGCACTTCTGGAAGAACGGTTAAACATTCCCATAGACACGCTCCTAAACCTTGTGGACAGCCTTCCCAGAAGAGTTGAAGCTGGTATAGCTGCAAAGGGTGGGCAAACTCAATATTTAACCCTACGGAGTAAGACTGGGCTGCCATTAATGTTCATGTGAGTGTAAAGGCAAGCGTCCCAACACTTTTGGCGATATAGTGTGTGTACACACAATCTCACAGAAGTGAGTACACCCTCACATTTTTTAAAATGTTTTATTCTATCTTCATGTGGCAACACTGAAGAAATGACACTTTGCTACAATGTAAAGTAATGAGTGTACAGCTTTTATAACAGTGTAAATTTGCTGTCCCCTCAAAATAACTAGTTGAGTTGCTTAGCCTTGTTTCCATGTCCTATGCGCAAAAACACATAGGAAGTAAGAGCAGAAAAGTGGCAGCAGGTCCTCTGGAATTGTGAATCAAAATAGTGGAGGTTCCCTGCAAGTTTGGGTTGCATTTCTGCAAATGGAATTGGAGATTTGGTCAGGATCAATGGTGTCCTCAGTGTTGAGATATACAGGCAGATACTTACCCCATCATGCCATACCATCACGGAGGCGTGTGATAGGCCCCAAATTTACTGGTACAATGTTTTGCATTTTATGTAACAAATCGATACTGGCTGTATGTATATAATTATTTGGCAAAACTGCTTCTGTTTTTAGTTTCTGCAATAGTTAGAAAATTGATAAATCATCTTCACATATATTGTGTTTTGTTTTTTAGATGGGAATGCTTGTTCCTGCTGGACAGCAGGCTCCACCTCCATATCCTGGTCAGAATCAAGTTAGTCAGCCAGCTGTACAGCAGCCTTCAACCCCTGTGTTTGTGGCTCCACCACCCAGGACTCAAAAGTTACTCCATTCAGAAGCATACTTGAAATACATAGAAGGATTAACGGCTGAATCCAACTGCATCAGCAAATGGGACCAGACATTGTCAGGTAAAGGCTTAATAACTGTAGCTGTTTATTGTCAATTAATAGTATTCATTTTCCACAGGTTGCTGTCCAGTGACCCATCTCTCTGGCTGCAGTAGTTTTTCTTTTTTTTTCCCTAGCACCATCCTCTGAAGTTCTTGATAACTAGATTTCACAAAAAGTCATTCTAAAAAGCTTTCTTAATCACTGGTTTTGGTATTAGCAGTTTTACAATCCCTGATGGTACTACCGAACACATCATCTTTCCCTTGGATGTACATATGATCTGCTAATGTAATATATATATAAAGATGAAACATTAATGAATGCAAATATTTATATTCTTAAATTTTCCATAATGAAGACTGCATTAAGATCACATTAAAAACACAGTAAATATGTTAACGTAGTCATATAGTACAGGACACAGGCTGAATCTTCATAGACCCTGGGTTATAGACTGCTACCTTCAGGTGATTGGACATTGGCAAAGCTTTTAGAGACACCCCCTGGGCATACCCTTATGACAATACCCCACTCTGTGAGACCAGTTTCTTGCTTGTGTCCTTTTGGTGATGGACTTCTTTTCCTTTCGGAGAAGTTCTCTATGCCTAACTAGTTATCTTTATTTTGGATTCTTCAATCAACTCTTCACTGCCTCCTACCATAACTTTAAAAGCAGCGCATCCAGATCAGTTTAACTTGGGAGCAAAAAAAAAAAAAAAATCAAGCAAAACTTTTGTTGAAGGTTTGCAAAACACTTAAACTTCTCAGAGTAATGATGCTTCTCTTGCAGCAGAGTAGGACACTACTTTAACGCTGGTCTCTGCATCCGATTCTAACTCTACCTCAAGCATATAACAAACAGCCTATCTGAAAAGGCAGATTTCTTTGCAGCTGTCTGATTTTTTTTTTGGATAATTAATGGCTTTATTACAACCATCCAAGTTCAGAGCTCAAAAGCACCATGTTTCTTCTCCATCCTCGCCTTCTCTACCAGAGTTGAAATTGAATCTACCTGCTCTAGAAGCATAGAGTCAGTGCTAGAGCGCTATAAACATGCCCTTGGCTTCACAAAGAAAGCTTACTAACATAGACATGCTCCCATCTGCTGTGTGCAAAATATTTAGCATAATTGCACTTGAGTCTTCTCCATCTCACCATGCCCCTTTGGGGATTAAGAGACCTGCCAAGTCTAAAAAGACATTCCCCATTTGTATTTTTTCCCTAACATTGTCAGCTGTGTGGAAATGCGTTGGTGGAGGTTGTGGCCAGTGACATTGTTGTGCATGCCAGTAGAAGTTCCAGCAGGGCCATATTTTGTTTCTTGTCAATGATTTCCACATGTAAGTGCATAAGCAAAATAATTTTTACCTTGCTTTTATTGGTTGCACATGAGGTTGTGCTGTTCCTTTTTTTTTTTATATAAATTCTTACCATTTGTGAGGATGATGTGGAGTAAAAAGGTGACAAGTTTGTCAGAGCCATATAACAAATGCGCTGACTGACAGCATAGGAACCTTACAGACTGAAAGGATACCTCATGGTGTACGGCTGTGTGTCAGCTGAGATCATTTGATCTCATTTGCCTGAGATCCAATCTTTCTGGTAAGAAGTGTGTGTATCCTTGTGGCGTGGATTTTTTTACAACACTGGCTTTTTTGGGTGATTTACACAGGATTTATGATTATTTACATTACTTTTAGAGACTTTGTTTCATTTTGGTGGACTTTAAATATAATAATCAAGCAAACCACATATACATAGATGAGGAAAAAAATCTATTAAAGAGATACTCAAAGTGTGCTATTCCCCATTTTATGAACTAAAAGAATAGGCAATTTATGACAAATTACACCTGAAAATATTTTAACGCCTCTGAAATCATTGCTGAGCTACATCCAGTGGGGGGGGGGAAAAAAAAAAAAAAAAATCACTAAAAATTAGTAGTAGTAGACCCTGCCATCTCAATCTTAAATAAACCTCTTACTGTGCTTATAGAAGATGTAACTTTTATTTTAGGATTTTGCAAACAGAAAAATTTGAGATAATCTTAAAAGCTTTCTTTGTTTTTGCAGGGAGCTCTTACAACCAGTTATTGCTGCAGTCTCTGTTTGTCAAACTGCAACTAATTGGACTAGAGCAATGAACAATCAACAGGAACCTATATTCCAGAGCCAAGTTCTGGCAGATCACTTACAAACTTTGCCTTCTGCTCTGCTTTTCTGTGTTGATACCCTAGCACAAGTCATGACGAAAATTTTTTAAATTAATAATTTCTCTCCATATGTGTACATAAGCGTATGGCTAAAAGACTGGGCAGATGAAGCTGTCTGTAACAGGCACCTCACTTGTATGCCTTTGAATTGTGTCTTTGTTGATGCTGCACCTGACAAATTTATGAAGGAGGTCACAGGTAGAAAGGCACTTCTTCTACAAAGAAAAGTTCCAAACCTCCCTACTTGAGATTTTCTACTTACTCTAAACAAACCACACTCAATTACCCTCACCAGGCTTCATCTTCAAAGCCAAAATTCAACCCTTTCTCTTGGTGAAAAACTTGGAACAAAATCCACCAAATCTGCCACAAACCTTTCTCCACAGTGCAGTGCAGACTTCTGTCCTAAAAGTGAGGGGACATCTATTTCAGTATACATCCCTCTGGTTCACAGATATCTCAGACCCATTGTTCGGTGGTTTCAAAAAGGGTACAAAATAGAGTTTCAAACTCTAGCCCCTCACCTTTTTTTTCTGCTCTCAAACCAGCCAAAATATGCCAATTGAGAGCCAGATTTGGACACTTCTCTGAACCATCTTGTCCCAGAGAGTAGTCATTCATGTCCCTCTAGAGTAGTGGTCTCAAAACTGCATTTGAGGGGCCCGAGTGCAGCCCTTTGCTTGCTTTGTCTATCCCATGGGACACAATTCTTCACACTGATACCAACCATGGGGCATGACACAAAAAATAGGGCACCATTTCTTCCCCTAATATTAAAAGGTTGGGCAGTGTTTACTGGAGGGCAGGAAAATGGCCATTTGTTCAGAAATGCCCCCCCCGCTCTAGAGGACCAAAATCTAATGTGGGTAATTCATCCTACTCTGGATCTAAAATCCCCAAACAAGTACCTGCATCTTTCAAAGTGTCGCACTGAATCAGCAAGGTCGTAATTACCTCTGACTCAAAGAGAATATCTCACTAAAGTTGCTTACCTGCGCTTTCCCATTTACCCATCTCAGTCACATTTTTCAAGTTTTGCAGTAAGAGACAGACATGTTCAATTTGTTGCAATTCCATTCGACCTTTCCTCGGCCCCCAGAATATTTACATTTCTGCTTGCTCTTCTAGAAACCTGGTGCATTCAGGTTATAAGGTGTCTTAACTACCTTTTTCTTAAAATGGAGTTCCAGTTGAATTAAAAAAAAAAAAGTCAAACTAGCAGATGACCTTTAAAATACAGACATTTACCTGTCCCTCAGTTCAGCAAGGTCCTCACCATGGCTGGTTTCACCAGCCATCTTTTCTCTCCGGTGCTGGAATCTTCAGTGTGGGCACCCAGCTGTGACAGCTGTCCAGTAGTCTCTGCTGTTCACAGTGTGGTAGTGTGAAATTAGCAGACAGGTTTCCTCAGCCATCACCGCCTAGACCAGGGGGAGTGGTCCCTTCCTTCTGACTTCTTTGGTCTCTTATGTCAGAAATAAGGGACTCCAGATGTGGACATCCTGGCCTGCAGGTTCAACAAGTTACCCCTGTTCATGGTCAGAACCAAGGAACCAATACATTGAATGCCCAGGTAACCCCCTGGACTCCAGTCCTGGTAATATGTGTCTTACCTTCACTGCAGATGCTTCCTCAATTGCTTAAGAAAATAAAAAGGAGAAAAAATTGGGGAGTCTCATTGCAGTCAAATGACCCAGAGAGACGCGGTTCACAGACATGCTCAGAGTTTAGGGAAACTACCCCTGACTTCTTCCAAACAGGCCAGACGTGCTCTCTCAAAGCCTGCTTCTTAGTCACTGGCTTCAACAGCATGGCTGTTGAAACACAGATGGTGAAGGACAGGCCATATCTCACTCTGTCATTCCTGCCTTAATCAGAGCCAGCTATTTACAGAAAGATATACTACCGTACATAAAAATCATATTTCACCTGATATGAACACAGGCACTTCAACCCCAGAGATTACTCTGTACCTTGTGGTCTGCCCTTCCTACAGACCTGAGTAGAATTTGGACCCAAGTACTCTTAAGGGACAGGTTTCGGTCTCATCCATCTGAGTTAGCAGTTCTATCATGCAGAGTATCTTGATTCTTCACAGGGATAAAAGTAGTCTTGTGCTCAAGACCCTCCTTTCCACCCAAGGTGGTCTTAGCCTTCTGCCTTCCCATACAGAAGAAAAATATTCTTCCCAAATATATTGCCATAGATTTGAAAAAAAAAAAATGTAGTATTTCAAATATATGGCAATATATTTGGGAAGAATATTTAAAAATATATTTCAAATATATTTTTCTTCCAAGTGGGTTAATGAGGACATTGTCCTGTCTTCTTTCTGCCCTGGTCCAAAGCATCACAAATAAATTGCTCTCCCCTGTTTTGGATGTGGTCAGAGTTGTCAGGGTCTGACAACCACAGCATCCATTTGAAAAATGGCTTGTTAAATATGACATATGGTACATGAATAGTTTGTATTGTATCCAGATGGAAGGTGGAGCTTTAAGCCACAGATATGCATTACCTTCTGTTAAAAAAAGCCTATGTACAGAGCTCAGCTTCACTCTCACAACAGAATGCTGAAGGGTCCATGCATGTTACCACTCTTATTTTATTTACTGTTTTTGTACTTGCAATACGCTGTGTTTCTGCTCTGACTGTTCGTTGTTATTGGATGCACCTCTTAGATTTGTAACACTAGATGTTTTTGTAAGATATCTTGTCTTGCTGAAGTACACAAAAAAAATAAATAAAAAAGTAACCAAAAAGGGGGGGGGGGCTAAAAAACAAAAGTTATGGCAGAAAAAAAAAAATTTCTGCCAGAAAATTGCAGTACAGAAGTTTTTTTTTTTTTTTTTCACAGCTTGTAAACACTGAGCCTAAAATAGCCTCTAAACCAGAGTTTCTCAACCTTTTTTTCAGTCGGGGCGCCCTTGAAAAGTATTTTCAATCATGAGGCACCCCTGTCCAAGGCTTGGTTCAAGTTACTGTGTGTCATGGAACGCACGCAAAATCACGCTCATTCTTGACACACAGACAAATGCTCTGCTCTTTAATTCTCAATGGTAACCCCATACATTGGCAAAGGCGGGGTGTTTTTGGTTTGGTGCAATTTTATATATATATATAAAAAAAAAAAAAAAGGTCAGGGATGACTGTCTCTGCATTCCTGCAAGTAGGCAACCCATGTAATTAATTGGCTTCCTTACATGCAGTCACTCAGATGTGAACAAAAGGGCCTGTTCACCTGTGAGGTTGAAGGGCGGTAATACCATTCAGTTGAGCTGCTTTTACCACCCCCAACTGCTCCTCCTTTAGCTGCAGCAGCTGGGGGTATACACATGCTGTGGCCGCAACTGGAAGTATACCTCCAGGTGAATGGGTTTTTTTACAACCACCCCGCAACTATGTGCTCATTGTACGTGGTTGTGATGGGGTGATGCTGCATTTACGGGGTTAAAGCAGGTGGTGAGGAGGGTAACACATTGACTCTTTAGCACCTGTCAAATGCCTCTGAAAAGCGATCTGAGCATGGATTGCTTTTCAAAGGAGTGGCAGTCCTTGCTGCTATTACAAACAAGTCCTAAAAATAAAAAACAGTTCTGAAAGGACAGGAATAGGAAATAAAGATTAAAAGAAATTTACATTCACACAAAAATAAATGCACACATACATTAAAACACACCCACACACCCCCATACCCTTGATTCTTCACACCCCCCCCCCACAAAACGTTTCTGTACATACCTTCCCTCACACAGCTTGGTACTGCACTCTAGGGGGAGGCAGAGAGCACAGCAGACACTCCTGGTCCCTTTGCTCAGCAGTCTGACCTCTCCCAGTTCCGATGTACAGTGCGGCTTGGGATCAGGATCTCGGGCTCAGCTGACAGCCTCTTTCTACCAGGACATCACAGCACCCAGATTAGAGAAAGGCTGCTCTAAACGTCCTGACGTGCATTGGACACATAGGATAACATTGAGCAGCTTCTACAGTCAAAAACACAAAACTCCTGTAGAGTTTTTTTTTTTTTTACACCCACTATGCAAGAACCCTTGGAGCAAGGACTCCTCAAAGTTATTTCCGCTTCATCCATGGGGCACAACAGCTCTAGGGATTCATTCAGAAACAGTTTAAAAAAAACCAAAAAGGGGTTTTGTCATGCATTCAGTATGCACAAAAAATTGTGTATACAGGAAAAAAAAAAAAATATATATAATTTTAGATTGTAAGCTTTAATGAGCAGGGTCCTCTGATTCTTCTTGTATTGAATTGTGTTGTAACTGTACTGTCTGCCCTGATGTTGTAAAGCACTGCGCAGACTGTTGGCGCTATATAAATCCTGTATAATAATTATACACACACTAACACACACACATATACATATATATATATATATATATATAAAATTGACCCAGAATTTGCCCTTTAAAAATAATGGCACACTCGCATCAACATTGCATATCCACTATCTTGTACTTATTCCAACCTAATCAAGTTCTGTATGTGTGTAAATTATACATGAAGGGTTAGACTCTGGTTCTCTGTGTAGTGTAAACAATAGCTTACAGGAGATCACGAGAAGGAGAAACCCCAGAGGAGACAAAACTGAGCTCTTTACAAAAAGTAAATCTAAAATGTATGGATACAGACTGAATACATACATAATCACTGATCCTGATTTTATTTATCATTTTTAGCTCGGAGACGAGACATCCACTTGTCGAAAGAACAGGAGAGCCGGCTTCCTTCCTACTGGTTGAAGAGCAAAGGGGCCCACACAACTATGGCCAATGCATTATGGCGTCTCAGAGACCTCATGCTTAGAGACACCTTAAACATCCGACAGGCATACAGCCTTGAAAATGTCTAAGCTGTCGATCGCCATTGTTTTCTCTTTTCATAGCAGAATACTGAATTTTGTGGAACAATCAATGTTTTTAGTGACTGAGGAGCCAGGCCTATATTTTTTATTCGCATTTCTGTACATTGTAAGACCATTTTGATATAAGGACATTTTAATATGCTTATTTTGACCTTTTTTGTTATGTATTTAGTTGATGTCAAATACATTTTTACATTGCTTCAGTCATGTTTTTGGGATTTAGTGTCAAGGATATACTTTGGAAAGTGGTGTGACATGTACATTGTTTTTTTTATTGCTGTTGTAGAATATGCTATGTCACGCTGCCATTATTTTAAATTAAATGTCTTTGCCACTATATTTTGGCCCAGAACTTCTCTTTATGCACCTGATGAAAAGTCTTATCCATAACCATCTGAATGCACCTGAGAGAGTGTTGAATTTGCTCATCTACACAAGCCCCTACTGAGAGTTTTAGGTCTTTTCTCTTTCCTTGCCGTGTTCTCTAGGTACAGTTTGCATTTAAAGATCTTCTTGCTCATGCGCATGTGTGCGGACAAAGAAAATTAGCTATTTTTGATCATTTATTGCTGGCAGCATCACTGCTCACCTCGCCATAGCATCAAGAGCTTCTAGCTGCAACAGCTCCTTGATGATGTGAATATGAAGTGAAAGGCACACGTGCAATAGAAAGGATGCAATGGAAATGGCTTCATGGATGTTCTGAAATCTGCAATATCTTATAAAATAATGTATTTAGGAATAAAGTTCAGTTATTTTCAATACATTCTGTATTTAGGTTCAGTTACTTTAAAGACATGTTGTATTTAGAATAATTAAGTCAAATATTCTACACAAAAAAAAAAGAAGGAACAAGCTACTCGTCACCAATATAAATACAAGAAAATATGACCCCCTTTGAGACTTTAATGCAGCTGACATAACATCACACATACATTTGTAAGGATTATTTTATTTGTGTATATACACATATACATGCATACATACACACACACTTTATTGTATGAAAATTTTAAAAAAAATCCATTACAGCTTGAAATCATCCTAATAGCTCTGATAACTGTTCCAAAAATATAGTTTCTTGAAGGGTTACAGCAATAAAAAATGTTCCTAAAAAGTCAACGCGTTTCTATCATTTCAATTCAAGGTCATCTTCAGGGGGCATGAAAACCAGAGGAATTTAAAGCAACAATTGGACAGTTGATGTGTATCAGAGCAGTCCTAAAAACATTGGCATTCAAAAGGGGAATTGTATGTTTCGATATTCGATGGTGTGAGCAGGCACGTGGACATGAGTGATCACATGGACATCTCATAATATTGGCAGCATATCTTTAATATAGAGGGTGGAACTAACAAGTAACGAGAGCTTAAATAAGCCTGGCTTGTTTAATGGAGGTGGTAATCCATGAGACATTGGATAGAGTGGTAGATTTGTTGAGGGAGGCATTTATGGACAGCTGCCTAAGGGTTTGGATTATATCTCCCCTATTACCTTAGATAATGAGGTGACTGGGGATATTTCCCAGTCAGTGGAGTCTGTGCCATCCTTTTTTGCTTGAAGAGGAATATTTGGGCTCTCAGTCTTGTTGGTTCTACCCTATATATGAAAGATATGAAAGGGTAGTCAGTTTTTCCTTCTCTGCTGCCAATATTATTATAAGCAGCTTCAGCATCCCTACCGTCTTTCTGTAGGAGTCCCCCAAGGCTCAGTCATCAGACCCCTTCTGATCTCTACACCTCTTCCCTTTGGTCAGCTGATAACCTTGGCTAGCTTCCAAAACCATGTCTATGCTGATAACACTCTAATCTCTGCTATCCTCAATTTACCCTTTCAGTCTCCTTAGGCACGGGTAACCTCACATGGCTTCCAATAACATGCCTGATGATGACATGGAAATCTCTCTGCTAGTCAGCCTACCCCTTTCAGTCTCCTTGTGCATAACTAACCCACTGAGGTATCAGTATACTTGCCAAACCACTTCCTAAAATCAATCTTTCAAAAATTTAACTCATAATATTTTGTAACCCACTCTCCCAACAAGGTTAAATATCACAGCTATTTTTCCCGCCACTCATACCAGGGTTCTCAGTGTAATCTTGAACTCTGACATTTCTTTTCAGCCTCACTTCCAATTGCTGTCCAGATCTTTCAGCTGTTACAGTGGGGAAATTATTTGATGCCCTGCAGATTTTGTAAGTTTTCCCACTTAAAGAAATTAAAAGGTCTATAATTTTTATCATAGGTGCATTTTAAAGGATAGAGACATAATACCAACCAAAAATTCAGAAAAAAACACATGATACAAATATTATAAATTGAGTTGCAGTTCAATGAGTAAAATAAGTATTTGATCACCTACCAACCAACAATAATTCTGGCTCGTGGTACACAGATAACTCCTGTCAATTTAAGAAGGTGCTCCTAATGACAACTCGTGTATAAAAGACACCTGTCCACAGTCTCTTCCATTCAAACCTCACCACCATAGGCAAGACCAAAGAGCTGTCAAAGGATGTTGAAGACAAGATTGTACACCTGTGCAAGGCTGGAATGGGCTACAAGACCATCAGCAAGAAGCCTGGTGAGAAGAAGACAACTGTTGGAGCAATTTGCAAATGGAAGAAATACAAAATAACCCATCAATCGACCTCGGTCTGGAGCTCCATTCAAGATTTCGCCTCATGGGGTCAGCCCAGAACTACATGGGAAGAGCTTGTGAATGATCTCAAGGCAGTTGGTAACAGTCACTAAACAGAGCATTGGTAACACAATATGCTGCCATGTATTAAAATCCTGCAAGATCCCACTCCTCAAGAAGGCTTAACTGAAGTTTGCTATTGAACATCTAAATGATTCACAGAAGGATTAGGAGAAAGTGCTGTGGTCAGCTGAGACTAAAATTGAGCTCTTTGGTATTACTCATCTCGCCATGTTTGGAGGGAATAAAATGCTGACTGTGACCCTAAGAACACCATCCCTACAGCCAAGCACAGAGGTGCAAACATGCTTTGGGGCAGTTTGTCTGCTACAGGCTGACTTTGCTGCATTAACATGTACAGTCAGGTCCATAAATATTGGGACATCGACACAATTCTAACATTTTTGGCTCTATACACCACCACAATGGATTTGAAATGAAATGAACAAGATGTGCTTTAACTGCTGACTGTCAGCTTTAAATTTGAGGGTATTTATATCCAAATCAGGTGAACGGTGTAGGAATTACAAGTTTGCATATGTGCCTCCCACTTATTAAGGGACCAAAAGTAATGGTACAATTGGCTTCTCAGCTGTTCCATGGCCAGGTGTGTGTTATTCCCTCATTATCCCAATTACAATGAGCAAATAAAAGGTCCAGAGTTCATTTCAAGTGTGCTATTTGCATTTGGAATCTGTTGCTGTCAACTCTCAAGATGAGATCCAAAGAGCTGTCACTATCAGTGAAGCAAGCCATCATTAGGCTGAAAAAAAAAACAAACCCATCAGAGAGATAGCTAAAACATTAGGCGTGGCCAAAACAACTGTTTGGAACATTCTTAAAAAGAAGGAACGCACCGGTGAGCTCAACACCACCAAAAGACCCGGAAGACCACGGAAAACAACTGTGGTGGATGAGCAAAGAATTCTTTCCCTGGTGAAGAAAACACCCTTCACAACAGTTGGCCAGATCAAGAACACTCTCCAGGAGGTAGGTGTATGTGTGTCAAAGTCAACAATCAAGAGAAGACTTCAGAGTGAATACAGAGGGTTCACCACAAGATGGAAACCATTGGTGAGCCTCAAAAACAGGAAGGCCAGATTAGAGTTTGCCAAACGACATGTAAAAAAGCCTTCACAGTTCTGGAACAACATCCTATGGACAGATGAGACCAAGATCAACTTGTACCAGAGTGATGGGAAGAGGAAGAGTATGGAGAAGGAACAGAACTGCTCATGATCCTAAGTATACCACCTCATCAGTGAAGCATGGTGGTGGTAGTGTCATGGCGTGGGCATGTATGGCTGCCAATGGAACTGGTTCTCTTGTATTTATTGATGATGTGACTGCTGACAAAAGCAGCAGGATGAATTCTGAAGTGTTTCGGGAATATTATCTGCTCATATTCAGCCAAATGCTTCAGAACTCATTGGACGCTTCACAGTGCAGATGGACAATGACCCAAAGCATACTGCAAAAGCAACCAAAGAGTTTAAGGGAAAGAAGTGGAATGTTATGCAATGGCCAAGTCAATCACCTGACCTGAATCCGAGTGAGCATGCATTTCACTTGCTGAAGATAAAACTAAAGGGAAAATGCCCCAAGAACAAGCAGGAACTGAAGACAGTTGTAGTAGAGGCCTGGCAGAGCATCACCAGGGATGAAACCCAGCATCTGGTGATGTCTATGCATTCCACACTTCAGGCTGTAATTGACTGCAAAGGGTTTGCAACCAAGTATTAAAAAGTGAAAGTTTGATTTATGATTATTATTCTGTCCCATTACTTTTGGTCCCTTAACAAGTGGGAGGCACATATGCAAACTGTTGTAATTCCTATACCGTTCACCTGATTTGGATGTAAATACCCTCAAATTAAAGCTGACAGTCTGCAGTTAAAGCACATCTTGTTCATTTCATTTCAAATCCATTGTGGTGGTGTATAGAGCCAAAAAAATGTTAGAATTGTGTCCATGTCCCAATATTTATGGACCTGACTGTATTATAAAATCTTGGATGAGAACCTTTTTCTCTCAGCCAGAACGATGAAGATGGGTCATGGATGGGTTCCATCATGACAATGACGCAAAACATACAGCCGAGGTAACAAAGGAGTGGCTCAAGAAGCAGCACATTACAGATCATTGAGTGGCCTAGCCAGTCTCCAGACCCCAATCCTATAGAAAATGTGTAGAGGGAGCTGAAACTTCGAGTTGCCAAGTGACAGCTAAGAAACCTTAAGGATTTGGAGAAGATCTGTAAAGAAGAGTGGACCAAAATCTCTCCTG